AAACAGTGTTGAGATTAATCATTCTTCCTCTACATGCATCACGTCACAATATGTGTGTGTGTGGTCGTGTGTGTGTGCGTTCGTGTGTGTAAAATTTCACACTGAATTCATCTGTAAACTGACTATAAATAAAGGAACTTGCAAAAATAAAAAACGACATATTGTGACACTATTTAGCTGTGGTAATTGATTAACTAATTAACCATAAAAATTAAACAAGAAAATACTAAGAACGGTAAAGAAGATACGGTGAGATTATATTTTTACTTTAAAAATAAAATCAAGTTACTTTTCTCAAAAGCCCGAGAATTGGCGTAAACAGTGGACTCACAAAAAGGCCATATGCGAACTTCTGACAATTAATTAATGATGTTTGTAAAAGTACTGGTTAAAGAAAAACCGAGAACAAGATATCATTCGAAATTACAAGATTTTAGAAGTCGGCAAGTCGATGAGGCCATATGTCGATTATAAAAATTTTAGCATGAGAAAATATTCCGAAATATTTGCCGATACGAGGTGGAGAAAATTACTATTATTTATTTTTCTCAAAGAAGCCAAGGGTTTGCTTAGACGCTAACCTCCACGAAGGGGACAAATGACGGGCTTTGACAATTGATTGATGACGTTGTAAAAGTACTGGTCGAGAAAAACAAAGAATAACCAAACGTCGAGGAAATGGTTTTAAGTGACCATGTGTTGATTGTAGAATTTTGGCATGAGAAAATATTTCAAAAGAATTGCCGATTTGAAGATAATTTATTTATTTTTTCCGAGTAGCCAAGGGTCTCGCAGACCTTGACAATTGATTGATGTTGTTTCTAAAAGCACAGGTTAAGAAGACGCAAAGTGGACAGGAGCGTCGAAGATATCAGAGATTTTAAGAGACAGAGTAATGTGTTATTCGTAAGAATTTTGGCTGGTGATAATGAGAATTTTGTAAACAAAAATTCTAGTTTATGGACCATTGGTCGAGTGGTAGCAATAGTGATAGGCGGAGGTAATTTGATGAGAAAGACGGGGAAATTATTAACGCCCACTGAAAGGAATTGGTATGAGGTACCAATGTGAGAAGGAGGGAGTTTGGGAGGATAGCTATCCTGCAAACTCTCCTCACGACTGAAGGGATTTCCCCAAAGATAGAAAGTAATTAATTTTCCCAAAATTGGAAGTAATCACTTTTCCTATCCATACAACAAAGAGGTCCCCTGTCAGAAATCGATATTTACTGAAAACCCCAGGTTGCGTCTAACCCCGCACCTGATTTTGGTTTGTGTCCATATAAGCGAGCGCCCTCGGGCAGTTCGCCAGTAGTTGTTGAGAAGTTTCAGTCCAACAGTTCGAGTAGCAGGAACCAGAATGTTTCCTCGCAGAAGCTGACTGAGTGATTCCACGACATCCGACTTTGCCTTTCCTACCAATAGCAAGTTATACTGACAAACGAAGCTAAGCCAGCACTTAAAAACTAAACCAGTTGACTTAGAAGACCAGAACCCGCCTAAGAAGCATAAAAGTGTCACTCTCCGAAGAAACGCGTTGGGAGAAAAACACACTCTTGTATATAACAGACGGATAAAAGTTAATTTGTTTCTTTCAACACACTTGAACCTGTTGGATTTTTATTTGCTTCTTTTCTTTGCGCTTGTGCGATATCACCTCCAGTTTAGACTCATCTTACACTACGACCCGATGCCTGAGATAAAAATCACGTGTGTAGGTTAGGCTTGAGTTCGAAGTAGTTGCTGCGGTAATCAGACATTAGAAGTGAGCTGAGAACGACGGAGCCGTTTGAAATCGACCGACCGTCCACTTGGTACCCTGACCAAAGGATCCCGCGGGGCAGCAACGACCTCCGATCGACTGCGACACAGGTTGGTGGCAGCGACTAAGAGTCAACCCCAAAGGAATAGGAGAAATATCACAGTTTCGCGCCGCGACTTGGAGTTGACCACGGGCCGACGACTCAGTGTCACAGTATCTATGAACATAAAAGTGATCGTATCCATAACAATTTATCAAATGCATTAATTATACATGGAAATAAATAAAACCACAACTTTAACATAAAGAATGCTACACTTCTTAAAAGAGGAAGTAACTTATTTAGACGGAAAATTCTCGAGAGTGCCGCTATCGAATCTTATCAAAATATAAATCTGCGCCCCGGATTTTTTAAAAATATCTTCAACCCCGAAAGAATTACTCCTTTCCCAAGCCAACATATATGAATATAAAAAATGTTAAAAAATTAAAAGTAAGCAGTTAAATTCATAATCTCATGTTATTTAAAATATTTTTTACATAAATAAACGTAAAATATTTTAAATATTAATTTACAGAAAAATTTAAAGAAAATCTTTTATTTACTTTCGTTTATTGAGCATTAAATTATGTCACATAGTGACCTCTATGACTTACCTAGACTTATCAGCTAACCTGATGAATATTTATGAGCGTCTCTTAAATTTAAGAATGTTGAAAATCTAACAACAGCTCGTGT